CGTTCTTGTGATCATTTTGACCCCACGGGGTGAGATCTTGCGTGGAGCCCCAGATCGAGGGAGATTATCAGTGGTCTTGTATGTCTTCCATTTCCTAATAATTGCTCCCACAGTTGATTTCTTCAAACCAAGCTGCTTACCTATTGCAGATTCAGTCTTCCCAGCCTGGTGCAGGTCTACAATTTTGTTTTTGGTGTCCTTTGACAGCTCTTTGGTCTTGGCCATTGTGAAGTTTGGAGTGTGACTGTTTGAGGTTGTGGACAGGTGTCTTCTATACTGATAACAAGTTCAAACAGGTGCCATTAATACAGGTAACGAGTGGAGGACAGAGGAGCCTCTTAAAGAAGAAGTTACAGGTCTGTGAGAGCCAGAAATTTGAGCTCAGTTTGTTGAAGTACAGCAACAGTTGACTCATTCAGAGATTGTTTTTGATAATGCTGTCCCCATCCCTTCCAGAGTCCTGCTCAGAGATCCCCTTCTACCAATATACCAGTCTTCATGCCGGTATCTATGTTCTCATCCTGCTGTTGGAATCTATTCCGCGTCTTCTCTGGTATACTTTATACTTTATACTCTTGGATGTTGTGTTTTCCAGTGGAAATAAAGCTTGTACAGTATATTGTAATTCCGTGATGGAAATGTTGTTTCTCTCGGGAAGTTGAGGAGCCAGTTCTAGATAGCACCTTTTTTTCTAAGAGTGTAGTACAATGCAACTTAAATAACGTACTAATTGTAAGTGCTGTATATGTTGCAAGATTCACCTGTCTAACATTTCCAACCTTTAAAAAGAAACAGGTGCAACTTACAAGGAGTTGATGTCAATGTTAACCAACACATAGGCCTAACTGTTATTTGAGGAATAGTCAACATTTAACCTTTCCATCGGTGGTTTACCAGAAATGTGAAACTAGTTATTGGTAGTCATGAAATGAAAAACAACTTAAACATATTTTGATTCTGGTTTTCCATTCCACTACAAATTTGTAATGCTTGGATTTGCTTCCAAAAAACAAAGTTAGCCATACATCCACAATAGTAATGTCATCAATGCATGCAATACAAACCATTACGTGACACGACTGGTTACTCTGACTGAAAATATATATTATGTAAGCTAAAGCAGACATGAATCAAGGTATCTGCCATTTCCTCATTTGAAGACGCATTAGTCACCTCAGTAATGAGGCTATAAAAGACGTTGGGTGAAAAACCGCAAACAAGAAAGTATCTATAAAGTGTCCAACTATAAATAAACCCAATATATCAGTAGCTGAACGAATTCTGATAATGTCAACGTTGATGACGTTAGTTAGGGTGAAGTTCCTGTTAAACTTACAATACATTTAGTTCATTTGTGTGTATATACAGTTACTCTTTGAAAAGTCAACAAGTTTATTTGAACAATTAATCATAAGCGCTCTCACATTTGAAATAGTTCTGCTCTGCTTTAGCTACCTACATTTTCAGTAACTTCAATAAAAGGTGGACCACATGGACCACCGCTTTAGAGGTCAATGAAAATAAGGTCATTTTCTTCAACGTCACTAGTGACCTGTCACAGCATCACTTGTGAGTCTCCATATCCTCCTTGCTATGTTTTCTGTGTCCTAACTAAGCACATACAGTTGAAGTCGGAAGTTTACATACACTTAGGTTGGAGTCATTAAAACTCTTTTTACAACCACTCCACAAATGTCTTGTTAACAAACTATAGTTTTGGCAAGTCGGTTAGGACATCTACTTTGTGCATGACACAAGTAATTTTTCCAACAATTGTTTGCAGACAGATTATTTCACTTATATTCACTGTATCACAATTCCAGTGGGTCAGAAGTTTACATACACTAAGTTGACTGGGCCTTTAAACAGCTTGGAAAATTCCACAAAATGGTGTCATGGCTTTAGAAGCTTCTGATAGGCTAATTAACATAATATGAGTCTATTGGAGGTGTACCTGTGGATGTACTTCAAGGCCTACGTTCAAACTCAGTGCCTCTTTGCTTGACATCATGGGAAAATCAAATAAATCAGCCAAGACCTCAGAAGAAATATTGTAGACCTCCACAAGTCTGGTTCATCCTTGGGAGCAATTTCCAAATGCCTGAAGGTACCACGTTCATCTGTACAAACAATAGTACGCAAGTATAAACACCATGGGACCACGCAGCCGTCATACAACTCAGGAAGGAAACGCGTTCTGTCTCCTAGAGATGAACGTACTTTGGTGCGAAAAGTGCTAATCAATCCCAGAACAACAGCAAAGGACCTTGTGAAGATGCTGGAGGAAACAGGTACAAAAGTATCTATATCCACAGTAAAAGTCATATATCGACATAACCTGAAAGGCCGCTCAACAAGGAAGAAGCCACTGCTCCAAAACCGCCATAAAAAAGCCAGACTACGGTTTGCAACTGCACATGGGGACAAAGATCATACTTTTTGGAGAAATGTCCTCTGGTCTGATGAAACAGAAATAGAACTGTTAGGCCATAATGACCATCGTTATGTTTGGAGGAAAAAGGGGGTTGCTTGCAAGCCGAAGAACACCGTCCCAACCGTGAAGCACGGGGCTGGCAGCATCATGCTGTGGGGGTGCTTTGCTGCAGGAGGGACTGGTGCACTTCACAAAATAGATGGCATCATGAGGAAGGAAAATTATGTGGATATATTGAAGCAACATCTCAAGACATCAGTCAGGAAGTTAAAGCTTGGTCGCAAATGGGTCTTCCAAATGGACAATGACCCCAAGTATACTTCCCAAGTTGTGGCAAAATGGCTTAAGGACAACAAAGTCAAGGTATTGGAGTGGCCATCACAAAGCCCTGACCTCAATCATATAGAAAATGTGTGGGCAGAAGCGTTTGCGAGCAAGGAGGCCTACAAACCTGAGTCAGTTACAACAGCTCTGTCAGGAGGAATGGGCCACAATTCACCCAACTTATATTGGGAAGCTTGTGGAAGGCTACCCGAAACGTTTGACCCAAGTCAAACAATTTAAAGGCAATGCTACCAAATTCTAATTGAGTGTATGTAAACTTCTGACCCACTGGGAATGTGATGAAAGAAATAAAAGCCTAAATAAATCATTCTCTCTACTATTATTCTGACATTTCACATTCTTAAAATAAAGTGGTGATCCTAACTGGCCTAATTTTTACTAGGATTAAATGTCAGGAATTGTGAAAAACTGAGTTTAAATGTATTTGGCTATGTAAACTTCCGACTTCAACTGTATCAGATTTCTCACATCACAATCTATGCGAGTTGCTCACTTCATCAATGACGGCATAGTGGAAAATATGTCTCCATCTTTTTTTATACTAACTTGTAAGTATTAAAAACATGTTATTTTGATCAACATCTCTTTACAGTGATTTTAATTATTTTATATGTTAGATGTAAATGTCCTGTTTGAAGCTGTTTTTACATTGTTTGAAATATTTTCCCCTTGTTTAAAGATACGGCCGGTCTTGCAGTAAAATAAGGTTGTGCAGGTATGTACCTGTATGCAGTGGTGGAAAAAGTACCCAAATGTCAAACAGTACTTGACTAAAAGTAAAGATACCTTAATAGAAAATGACTAAAGTAAAAGTGAAAGTCACCCAGTAAAATACTACTTGAGTAAAAGTCTAAAAGTATTTGGTTTAAAATATACTTAAGTATCAAAAGTAAATGTAATTGCTAAAATATACTTAAGTATCAAAAGTAAATGTAATTGCTAACATATACTTTTGTATCAAAAGTAAAAGTACGAATAATTTAAAATTCCTTATATTAAGCAAACCAGATTTACGGATAGCCAGGGACACACTCCAACACTCAGACATCATTTACAAACAAAGCATTTGTGTTTCGTGAGTTTGCCAGATCAGAGGCATTAGGGATGACCAGGGATGTTCTCTTGATAAGTGTGTGAATTGGACCATTTTCTGTCCTGCTAAGCATTTAAAATGAAATGAGTGTCAGGGAAAATGTATGGAGTAAAAAGTACATTCTTTTCTTTAGGAATGTAGTGAAGTAAAAGTTGTCAAAAATATAAATAGTAAAGTAAAGTACAGATACATCAAAGAACTACTTAAGTAGTATTTAAAGTATTTTTACTTAAGTACTTTACACCACTTGCCTGTATGTATTATTGTTGTCCAGCTCAACATCAGCCATTAAATAATATTGTAATCAGCGTCTTTCATCAACAGACGTATTTCTTGATGAAATACATTTTTTTAGAAGTACTTTTTACTACTAATGTAGAGTAGCACTATACTTCAAGTGCCATTTCATTTATTGAGACTTAATGACTTGAATACTTTTTATAGTTGCAAATAGAGATATAGTGAAGTGATACTACACATACAAATACCTTATAAATCAAGATACTTCTATCACTTACCATTTTAGTTTTCATAGATTTTCTCTTTTCCTCTGTACAGATTCTGTCCCCACTCCAACCATTGTGTTAGACCCTGGGTACATCAATGTAGCTATGCCTGCCTGTTGTAGTACGCTATGAGTCAAAAGAAGGCACTGAGTGCGACTTCTACAAAGACCACAACCCCTATTATAGAAAGTGCATTCCAGTGTTTGCCAATTCACGTTGTTCTGGAATGAGTTAACAACGTGGGACAATACTGAAGTAGATCTGAGATGTGCTATTCTACAGAATGGGAAAAAGGGAAAACAGTCTTCTCAAAACGTAGTGAAGACAATGTGAGCAGTGAGTGACCGTTTTACTGTACTCCAAAGCACTTGTTTAGTTAGCATTACACAGAGTGCACCTTTTCCCTAGGATATAATTAATTGACTTTATATATTACTTTCACAATTTACAAACAGATCCCATTGGAAAACCGAGTCTGTGCAAAAGGAAGGGAAATACCTCACTCTTTGATGTGAGGCCAAACATGGAAACTTTTACCTGAATAATGATGACTCACACTTAAGAAAAACAACCTCACACACACAATGTCTGTGTGTGGAGAGTGGCGGAAGAGGAGCTGTTGATGAAGAGGAGCAGTATTGGATATATCTTCATCACATGTCATGTAGAGCTGGTGGCAAAGGATGAAGATACTGTGACATCACAGCACAGCCTCAGTATCCCCATAGATGGTGAGGAGGACTAGATCCTATCAATTGCGCTGACATTTTAACATGACAATCTTCTGTTTATCTATTACTGTATTACAAGTTTGATAAATGAGTATTGGACATATATAAATATTTTGTTTATTTCAGTTGTAAATCCTCCTGGAACTACCATTTCCTCCCCAGCTTTCAGTTCTATCCCTCCTGGAGAGGAGATGGCAGTCAGCAATGTAACAACCGAAGGAGAAGGTGAGTAATATTGATTGACAGTGTATGATTCTGTTGCTAGTAAATGTACAGGTATTGATTAGTTTCTAAAATGTCTAAACTCTTAGTATTTTGATGGTCACTTAGTAAGGCTTATTTGCATGAACATTCTAGCTATTGTAATTTATACTGTACAGATGACTCATTCAGTAACCATTTTTCAGTCTGGGTGCTGGTTCCCTTTTACTCATTCTGCTATCTGGGTCTGTGCTGTGTGTCCTCCGACGCAAGCATGGTGCGTACCTTCAGATAGGCCTAATCATACTTTTTACCCCTTTTTCATGATATCCAATTGGTAGTTACAGTCTTGTCCCATCGCTGCAACTCCCCTATGGACTCGGGAGAGGCGAAGGTCGAGAGCCATGCGTCCTCCGAAACACAACCCTGCCAAGCTGCACTGCTTCTTGACACACTGCTTGCTTAACCCGGAAGCCAGCCGCACCAATGTGTTGGAGGAAACAGCTTACAGGCGCCCGGCCCACCACAAGGAGTCGCTAGAGCGTGATGGGACAAGGAAATCACGGCTTGCCAAACCCTCCCCTAACCCTGAGGTAGCTGGGCCAATTGCGCGTCGCCTCATGGGTCTCCCGATCAAGGCCGGCTGTGACACAGCCTGGGATCGAACCAGGGGGTTTGTAGTGATGCCTCAAGCACTGAGATATAGTGCCTTAGACCGCTGCGCTACTCGGGAGGCCCATCCCACTGATATTTTGTTCCAAAGGCTACTTTAAATTATTTTCTGAATTGCTAAATTATCTCTCTCTATCTCTAGAAGGGGTTCAATGCAGGCCTGTAAATACTGGTTAAAACTTGTTTATTCATTTTAAACTACCATTATGTTTCCTTTATTTATGCACATCTATACACTGAGTGTACAAAACCTTAGGAACACCTTCCTAATATTGAGTTGCACTCCCTTTTGCCCTCAGAACAGACTCAATTCGTCGGGGCATGGACTCTACAAGGTGTAGAAAGCGTTCCACAGGATTGCTGGCCCATGTTGACTCCAATGCTTCCCACAGTTGTGTCAAGTTGGCTGGTAGTGGATTTCTACTCCAAATGGCTTGTTCCATCTGATCCCACAGATGCTCAATTGGATTGAGATCTGGTGTCTGGGCAGGCCACTGCAGTAAGCTGAATTCACTGCCATATTTGTGGAACCATTCCTGGACAATCCTAGACTTGTGGCATGGGGCATTATAGACTTGTGGCATGGGGCATTATCCTGCTGAAAAATTAATTTACAGATGGATACACTGCTGCCATGAAGGGATGCACCTGATTAGCAATGATGTTCATATATCCTGTGGCATTCAAACGTTGCTCCAATTGTATCGAGGGGCCCAATGTGTGCCATAACAAACACACCCCACACCATCACATCACCAACAGCCTGCAATGTTGACACGCGGCATGATGGATGCATGCACTCATGTGGTTTTCTTCCAGTAGTGTGAAGCAGGAACTGGGATTCATTAGACCAGATAATGTTTTTCCAATTCTCCTGTGTCCAGTGTTTTCTTTCCTTAGCCCACTGCAATCGCAGTTTCTTGTTTTTTGCTGAAAGAAGTGGAACTCTGTAAGGTCATCAGCTGCCATACCCCATTAGTGTCAAGGTACGACGAGTTGTGCATTCTTTTATGAGACTTTGGGCACCAATGTTGTACTGGACTATCAGTTGACTAACTGCAGCCCGTCTGTTGCTCTGCACAATTATTGTCAGCCTCCTTTTTCCTCTTTCCTCAATGACCCGTTTTTGACCACTGGCCTGCCGTTGGCTAGATATCCTTTGGGTGGTGGACCATTCTTGATACACACAGGAAACTGTTGAGTGTGTAAAACCCACCAAAAATATTATTTAAGCTGTCTCCTCCCCTTCATATACACTGATTGAAGTGGATTTAACAGGTGACATCAATAAGGGATCATAGCTTTCACCTGGATTCACCTAGTCAGTCAACAGTATGTATTGTCTATATCCGTCTGAATGTACTGCATTGTCTCGACAGAAGCCCACCTGAGCAGCAACACCAAACCCAACCTTGTGTCTGTGAGTATGAGGGCTGACTAAACCACTACTGCCTTTCTCTGACATCTTTTGATCAGTGTTTTATTTTCAATCATTCTCTCATTTGAAACAGATTCTGTCAACACAAGACCAAGGGATGAGATGAGTTGGATTGAATCAGTGCAATGTGAAGTAGTCTAATATGCACTTTACTTCGACTTTCAATAATATGGTTTGACCTTTGAACTTTACTCAAATAAAATAAAATCAAATGTTATTTGCCACATGCGCTGAATACAACAGGTGTAGACATTACAGTGAAATGCTTACTTACAAGCCCTTAACCAACAATGCAGTTTTTTAAAGAAAAAGGTCAAATAAAAAAAGTGTTAAGTAAAAAAAATAAAAGCAAATAACTAAAGAGCAGCAGTAAAATAAAATAACAGTAGGGAGGCTATATACAGGGGGTACCGGTACAGAGTCAATGTGTGTGGGCACCGGCTAGTCAAGGTAATTGAGGTAATATGTACATGTGGGTAGAGTTAAAGTGACTATGCATAAATAATAAACAGAGTAGCAGCAGCGTAAAAGAGGGGGATGGGGTGGGGTGGGGGGGGGGGCAGTGCAAATAGTCCGGGTAGCCATGATTAGCTGTTCAGGAGTCTTATGGCTTGGGGGTAGAAGCTGTTGAGAAGCTTTTTGGACCTAGACTTGGCGCTCCGGTACCGCTTGCCGTGCGGTAGCAGAAAGAACATTCTATGACTAGGGTGGCTGGAGTCTTTGACAATTTTTAGGGCCTTCCTCTGACACCGCCTGGTATAGAGGTCCTGGATGGCAGGAAGCTTGGCCCCAGTGATGTACTGGGCCATACGCACTACCCTCTGTAGTGCCTTGCGGTCGGAGGCTGAGCAGTGGTGGTGATGCATACCAGGTGGTGATGCAACCAGTCAGGATGCTCTCGATGCTGCAGCTGTAGAACTTTTTGAGGATCTGAGGACCCATGCCAAATCTTTTCAGTCTCCTGAGGGGTAATAGGCTTTGTCGTGCCCTCTTCACGACTGTCTTGGTATGTTTGGACCATGACAGTTTGATGGTGATGTGGACACCAAGGAACTTGAAGCTCTCAACCTGTTCCACTACAGCCCAGTCGATGAGAATGGGGGCGTGCTCAGTCCTCTTTTTTTTTCCTGTAGTCCACAATCATCTCCTTTGTCTTGATCACGTTGAGGGAGAGGTTGTTATCCTGGCACCACACGGCCAGGTCTCTGACCTCCTCCCTATAGGCTGTCTCATCGTTGTCGGTAATCAGGCCTACCACTGTTGTGTCATCGGCACACTTAATGATGGTGTTGGAGTCATGCCTGGCCATGCAGTCATGGGTGAACAGGGAGTACAGGAGGGGACTGAGCACGCACCCCTGAGGGGCCCCCGTGTTGAGGATCAGCGTGGCAGATGTGTTGTTAACCTACCCTTACCACCTGGGGGCGGCCAGTCAGGAAGTCCAGGATCCAGTTGCAGAGGGAGGTGTTTGTCCCAGGATCCTTAGCTTAGTGATGAGCTTTGAGGGCACTATGGTGTTGAACGCTGAGCTGTAGTCAATGAATAGCATTCTCATGTAGGTGTTCCTCTTGTCCAGGTGGGAAAGGGCAGTGTGGAGTGCAATAGAGATTGCATCATCTGTGGATCTGTTGGGGCGGTATGCAAATTGGAGTGGGTCTAGGGTTTCTGGGATAATGGTGTTGATGTGAGCCATGACCAGCCTTTCAAAGGTCGGTAGTCATTTAGGCATGTTATCTTGGTGTCCTTGGGCACAGGGACTATGGTGGTCTGCTTGAAACATGTTGGTATTACAGACTCAGTCAGGGACATGTTGAAAATGTCAGTGAAGACACTTGTCAGTTGGTCAGCACATGCTCAGACTACACGTCCTGGTAATCCATCTGGCCCTGTGGCCTTGTTAATGTTGACCTGCTTAAAAGTCTTACTCACATCGGCTACGGAGAGCGTGATCACATAGTCATCCGTAACAGCTGATGCTCTCATGCATGCTTCAGTGTTGCTTGCCTCGAAGCGAGAAGTGATTTAGCTCGTCTGTTAGGCTTGTGGCACTGGGCAGCTCGTGCTTCCCTTTGTAGTCTGTAATAGTTTTCAAGCCCTGCCACATCCGACGAGCGTCAGAGCCGGTGAAGTACGATTCAATCTTAGTCCTGTATTGACTCTTTGCCTGTTTGATGGTTAATCGGAGGGCATAGCAGGATTTCTCATAAGCGTCCGGGTTAGAGTCCCGCTCCTTGAAAGCGGCAGCTCTACCCTTTAGCTCAGTGCGAATGTTGCCTGTAATCCATGGCTTCTGGTTGGGGTATGTACGTACGGTCACTGTGGGGACGACGTCATCGATTGCACTTATTGATGAAGCCAGTGACTGATGTGATGTACTCCTCAATGTTATCTGAAGAATCCCGGAACATATTCCAGTCTGTGCTAGCAAAACAGTCCTGTAGCTTAGCATCTGCGTCATCTGACCACTTTTTTATTAACCGAGTCACTGGTGCTTCCTGCTTTAGTTTTTGCTTATAAGCAGGAATCAGGAGGATAGAGTTATGGTCAGATTTGCCAAATGGAGGGCGAGGGAGAGCTTTGTATGTGTCTCTGTGTGTGGAGTAAAGGTGGTCTAGAGATTTTTTTTTTCTTTGGTTGCACATTTAACATGCTGGTAGAAATTAGGTAGAATGGATTTAAGTTTCCCTGCATTAAAGTCCCCGGCCACTAGGAGCGCTGCCTCTGGATGAGCATTTTCCTGTTTACTTATGGCCTTATACAGCTCATTGAGTGCAATCTTAGTGCCAGCATCAGTTTGTGGTGGTAGATAGACAGCTACGAAAATATAGATGAAAACTCTCTTGGTAAATAGTGTGGTCTACAGCTTATCATGAGGAACTCTACCTCCGGCGAGCAAAACCTCGAGACTTCCTTAGTATTAGA